TTATTGCAAACTGCAATTCTCCATTTTTTTTTAACAGTAGTATTTTTTTTACATTAATTGACTTATCTCATTATTATGTGCATGAAAGTATTAGAATAATTCATAATTTAGAAAATACATAATGAAAAAATGTTTAAATGTAGTGAAAAGGTCTCCAGCTAAGTGACAAAAATATGCAATAAAAAATAGAAGTTCTATTTAAAAAATTAAAGATGATCTTCCACATAACCTTCAAGTGACAAACAATCCAAAGTCAAACCAATAGCATTTTATGTCCCCTTTGAAGTCATAAAACTTTTGTAATATTTTTTCTAAAATCTCGTGATTTTCTGTTATGATGTCCAGAAATTAACTGTTTTAATTAAAATGAGGTATTCTGTATACAAGATTTAACTCACTTGTCTAGCCAAGTCAGCCAATTCAGTTTTCAGCCTTTGATTTTCTGTACTATGATGCTTGATAAGATGGTTAGTTTCGTCAGAATTTTCGTGAAGTCGTTGATTCTCTATGAGAAGTTCGTCCAATCTGCTTGTCAGCGTTGCGATATTCGCCATAGCCACTTCATAATCTTGACGTTGTTGTTGTACTAATGGCGCTTTCTGCTCCAACTCATGAAGAATTACATCCATTTGAGATTTCAAACGTTCATTTTCTTCTCTTTCCAAAGTCAATTCATTAGAGACTTCAACTAGTTGAGTATAAATTTGCGTGAGACTTAAACCTCTTCGTAACACTCGACTGGTTATAGCTGCTGTAGGTGCTAACTGTTCTACAGCTTGATTCAATTTCTCTGCATAAGTTTATAAATGTTATTATCATTATAAATTAATATTATCGTAAATATATATAGAAAAATAAGAGAAATAATTTAAAAATGTAACATAATGACACAACTTAAGGGATCAGATATATGCTATACATTAACGGACTAATACGACATACAAATATGCATTCTACCTTGTTGAATATTCTTTAGTAATTCATTAGCATGTTCCAACTCTTTTGTCAATTCCTGGATACTTTGTTCCTTGTTATCAATATCTTGCTTGTGCTGAAGTAATAGTTGATTGTACTTTGTCTCTAAAGTGCCATATTCTTCTGCAGTGCTGTCTACAAGTTTTTGTAGCTCGCTCGCTGCATTAGAAATTTCCTCAGCCTTGGCATTAGCATCATCCTTCATCGATTCATATAAATTAGTTAGATTCTTTTGTGCATTAATTTCTTTTTGATAGGAATCATTTATAGCAATTTCATGGGTTCTCTGTTGTTCCACTTTCTGAGCTAGTTCATCACATTGTTTTTGAAGAGAAGAAACAGATTCTCGTAATTGAGAATTGGTTTCATTAGCTATTCTCAGTTCTTCTTCACGTTGTGATAACTTGGTGTCAATTAAAAGAGCTCTGGCAGAGGCTTCGGATCTTGCCGTCTGAAGTTCAGAGGTCCTCTTGGCCAATTCTTCTTCAAGGCTCGCCATTTGTTGAGAAAGAAGCACTCGCTCTTGCTCTAATCGTTTCTCTCTATGCATATGTGATTTAAATTAAAAGTAAGTATTATTAAAATTAATAATTTATTCACTGTTACAAATCATGTAGAATATACTAATAAATCTAAATAACAATTTATATGTTCAAATAAAGAACGATGTTACAAAAAGACCTGTTTTTACTGTGCATAAGGAAATTAAAACAAACATTATTTATTTTAGTTTTTCTAACGAGAAATGAATGGTACTAGTTAAAACTACATAACACAAAAATTGAAGTTAAATGGCAAAACATGCGGCATCCTAGTCATTCAAAAGACAGGTTGCCATGAATCAATAATATACTGTGATTTGGACATAGAAAATATAGAATTTTATTTAATAATGAAAATATCTTAGACACAATGGAACGTTTACATATAAATATAGACATGATATATCGCCAAGTGGAAGAAGCTAACTCGAATTATGTTCAAGCAGGCACTAACTTTCTGTTGCATCTGATATTTTCACTAAATATATTTTTATATTTATAATGTCGAAGAATGATGCACTGTATAGTATAAGATTTGTCTTGCAAATAACTGCGACATTATGGGTTTTTCTGACTCAAGTTCAATTCTTCAATTTTTATGTGTTTTCATCATATGGCAATTTTAACTAGCACAATTAGATTTCTTGCCTCAAAAAACTAAAGATGTCTATTTTACTTTCCCCAAATACAACAAAAACATGCCTTTTCATCCTTATTTAGATATAATTGTGTGCGTGTGCGTGTGCGCGCGCGCGCGCGCGCGCGTGTGTGTGTGTGTGTGTATATGTAATAAT